AGTTCATTAAATAGTCTTGATTTTAACTCTCTTCTCTTAAATGCTGAAGGTGAATAAAAATTTCATTATTAATTAATCAGAAATTATTATTAATTAGATTCTAGTAATAGTAGTAAAAGGAAGAATTGATGAACAATTAATATAAATTTATCTATTATAGTTATATATCTTTTTATTTTATCCTTATTTCGTTTTTAAAGCTAAATTATTTTGAAATAATAAATTTTTTACTGATAAATAAAGTTGCCATTTTACATAACTAAAGGGCTTCTATAAAGTTCCTTTTACTCACTTGTGATCGATTTATTTCAATCGTTTACATTTATTTATTGGCTGATTGCAAACTCGCTTTTGTTTATTTGCGAAACAATTTAAGTAGCTTGTCTAACGATCACGACAATACTACAGTATTTCCAATTAACCTTTTGACGATACGATACTTCACTATTTTAGCAACGTTAGTCCTAATTTTGCTTGCTTGCTCACTAAAGCAAATAAAATGCGGCCTTTTATCAAAGTTCCATAATTGTTACCTTTTACCAAGACACTAACTACACTTGTTGCTTTTATCAAGCACTTCAAACAAAGAAAATAGAAACAACGTTTTTATTTTTATTTTTATTTTTATTTATTAGAATGTTAATCACCTATTATGTTCCTCTGTGAAGATCAGAAGTTATTTCCTCCCTAATTAATATTATTATTGCAAAGTAACTTCCATAATTATTTTATTTACAAGTAATTATAAAAAGTTTTTGCGTAAAATTTTCGTTTGATAATAATCTTCCAAGTATGATTTTATCGAACCCGATCATATTAATATTAATGTAGTAAATGAGTGTGTGTATGGGAACTGGATTTGTATTCAGTAAAAGAAAAATTTAGCACAACCGATGAATATAGAAATAAAAAATTGAAGAGAATGTATATTTATATGTGAGCTTTTTTATATTTTATTAGCAATTTTACTTATCAAGGTTTTACTTATGTAATTTTTGAGTTAACGACTGTGAATTTGACGTAATAATTTTACAACAAGATGTCATATTAAAGTATGTGAATTTTTACCATTATTTTCAGAATAAAATTACAATCATATGATTTCAGATAATAGATATGACATTTTTCTACGAAGGGATTTTTAATTATTCGCAAATTAAAAAAAATTTAAGCTATTTTGTAAACCTTTGGTTCCGGGAACTAATTTGCCAATTGGCGGACTAAAACCCAAAGTTTCTGCGGCAATGGAAAAAGGAATTAATCGTCTAATGCTTTCTAAATATCAATCTTCACCTAATCTTTTATCCGAATAGCAGAGGGGAGTGAGATGAACGGGAAGCTGAGCGGAGACAATAACAAAATCTATTACGAGGAAAAATGAAGAGAGTTGGTTGAAGATTATCAACAAGTAGTTTCGCCCGAAGTAAAAGCCAAAACGCTGGTTTATTTTGCCGAACATCCGGAAAGCTTTATTTATTCCAGTTATTTGATATTTGCTTTTTATCATACAGGGCTTCAACACTGCAACGTATAATATTTGAACTCCATCACTACTGGTTCAAACGATCGTACTGGTATATTACAAAGAACCCACAGACATAATAAGGTAACCAGCCTCTTAATGAGAAGATCCCTTTTCAAGCATGATTCTCGAGCCTAGAATGCCTTCATCGGTAAATATTTTCACTGTCCCTTTCGCAATCGTTTTGAGCATTTACGTCTGGGTTCTTTACCCAAAACCCCCTGTATTCCACTTAACAGGCCTATAATTGTAATATATATTTAAGTTCTTTGCTTATCCCTTAAACTAACTAATAAATTCCGTATTTTTTATTGGACACGAGATTCAAATTTAAATGTAGCACAAAAAATCGATCTTTTCGCTTCTGCACGTTTGTGCACGTGTGTGAAGCACAAATGTTATGCTTCGAGAACGCGTGTACCTTTTTTCTGTTTTATCATAAAATCAATCATGGCCGTTTGTAAAGGAAAAAATTTTGAGCCCGACATTAAAAAAGCAATTGGGCCACCATAAAATAAGTCTTGTAAGGACCGAATGAGTATTTTTTGTTGAGTTATTATGTACCTGAAGTTACTCTGCTACTAGGGTTTAAAAGAAATGAAATTGAAAGCACTCCGTGGCCATAACTTGTGACAGTTACCAGTTAGGTAACCAGACCTAATGTATGGTGGACGACCTGATTATGAACATTCTTTCTTTCATCCGAAAAGCCGCTGGCTGGAGTGTCAGGGATAGGATATATGAAAAAATTTAAAAGCACATAATGGTCGTAACTTGTTGGACAACTTGTTATGAACGTTTATTTTGCTTCTTGATAATGATGAAACAAAACTTATTTTTTTTATATTTTATTATTTTCTAGACATTCCGGGGATGGAGGAATTGACTTAATAGGAGCGTTTGTTTATGAGGGTGAAAGATATGTCCTAGTTGTCCAATGCAAAGTAATCATGTTATTTAATATGAATATATATATAATTAAATATATTATTAATGTTTTTTTTTTTAATTTATAGCACTGCAAAACCTTCTCTATAGCTGTTTGCGAATTAAAAGGTGTAATGGCTGTATACCCATATTATACCTCAATTGGTATATTAGTCATTAATTCCGAACACCAAATAAGTAATCAAATGAGAACAGAAGCTAAGTTGGCATCATATAATATCATCGTATCAGATGAAATTAGCATATATGATGATTTAACTCTCTTTCTTGTATATCTTAAACAACAAAAAGCTCTCAGACATTTAAGAGAAAAAGAGGCATTGAGGAAAGAGATAGGAGAAGACATGGAGAAAGAATTGTCGAAGAAAATGATGGATGAGTTGAGGGAGATGTATATAGAACTAAAGAGGATGCATTTAGAAGAAAGAAAATTAATTTTAGATCAGGGGAAACGAATTGATTTTTTATTTTTATATAATTTTATTTTTTTATTTATTATATTAATTATATTATTATTTTACAAATAAATTATATATATATATATATATATATATACAAAATTAATTAATGAATTTTATTATTGAAGTTTTATTAGGTTTAATAATTTAAAAAAATGTTAGAGGCATTGACGAAAGAGATAGAAGAAGACATGGAGAAAGAATTGTTGAAGAAAATGATGGATGAGTTAAGGGAGATGTATATAGAACAAAAGATGATGCATTTAGAACAAAGGAAATTAATTTTAGATCAGGGGAAATGAAATGATTTTTTTTTATATATATTTTTATTATTATCCAAATAAATTTTATATATATATATATATTTTTACAAAATTAATTAATGAATTTTATTATTGAATTTTTATTAGGTTTAATAAAAAAATGTTAAATGATTTAATTTATTATATTTCTAATGTATGGAAATCTGTAAAACAATTTCTATTATCCTTGAAACATAGTGGAACTTTACATAAACTGCAGTAAACTACAGATTTTAATTCATTACCTGAAGATTTCCCTTCTTCTTTTTGTCTTTTGTATCTGCACCACACACAAGTTTTTCTCTTACCCATTTCAGGAAAATGTCTACCAAGCCTTAATCTTTCTGTAGGTAAAGCAAGATTACTTGTTGTTATGTAAATTGCTCTATCATTTCTTGAAGTCCTTGAAGTACTTCTTGAAGTACTTCTTGAACTTCTAATATTAATATCATTTTTTTCATCCAAACCAGAATTAATTAAATCCCAAGCCAAGTTTATTCTAAAATCTTTGTGATCCAAATCTCCATTGCAATTTTTATGAATTAAGTAACAATTAACAATTACAGTATCTAGTAACCAAAAGAACATCGGTATCCAAGTTCTCCTGGCTGTCAATTGAGTAGCATAATAACCACGTAATTGATCAGCTATGTCTACACCACCCATATGAGCATTGTAATCATCTATTACTTTTGGAATTGGGAGAGATTTTTTAACTGCATTTCCAAATACTTGTCTGACTTTTGCTGCATTTGTACTTGTGATCCTTGGACAACGACGTATTTTTTCTACTCTATTTTCTGCACCAGTAATTTCATGGATTGTAGTCAACATTGTTACTGGGCCATTGTCCATCCACAAAATTGATAAAACATTATCCACAACAACTCCACTAAGTGTGCCCC